TATGGCGGAGTGTGCTTTGATATACAATTCCTAATATCTGTAAGTATGGCAAAGTGTGCTATGATACACATTCTTAATATGTATAAGTATGGCGGAGTGTGCTATGATATACATTCTTAAAATCTATAAGTATGGTGAAGTGTGCTATGATATACATTCTTAATATGTATAAGTATGGCGGAGTGTGCTATGGTATACATTCTTAATATGTATAAGTATGGGGGAGTGTGCTATGATATACATTCTTAATATATATAAGTATGGCAGAGTGTGCTATGATATACATTCTTAATATGTATAAGTATGGCAGAGTGTGCTATGATATACATTCCTAAAATCTATAAGTATGGTGGAGTGTGCTATGATATACATTCTTAATATGTATAAGTATGGCGGAGTGTGCTATGATATACATTCTTAATATGTATAAGTATGGCAGAGTGTGCTATGATATACATTCCTAAAATCTATAAGTATGGTGGAGTGTGCTATGATATACATTCTTAATATATATATATATAAGTATGGCGGAGTGTGCTATGATACACATTTTTAATATATATAAGTATGGTGGAGTGTGCTATGATATACATTCTTAATATCTATAAGTATAGCGAAATAATTTTTCTGAAAGGATTTTTACCAAACATTCTCACATATTCATGACCCTTTTCCAGCTTTTGTGGGACAAAAGGGTTCAGAGTTCATAGGTTCTTACCAGTTTTACCCTTGCCAGCTGCTCCTTTCTTCGGTTTTGGCGAAGGCCTATCCTCAAAGTTCCCAGGCTCAGCAGAAAGAGCCCTATCCACAGATTTAAAAAAAAAAACTGCCATTACTACCTGTATCTGGGAGCCAATATGGTGTTAGAGCAAAATGATTGCCTGCATTTCAAAAGGTAGTGTGTTAAAATCCGATGTAGCCTGACTTATTTCAAAAATGATCTTGGCTCTCAAGCTGACCAGCCTTAAGTGGGTAAAGTCCTGGAAAGTAAAGGCGGTCAGCGTGATGTTGACCATATCACCCACAAAGTGTTGATTGGTCTATAAAATATAGGTCTAGCACCATATGCCAATATGCCGGAAGGTGGGGAAAATGGTCAGAATGAACATTTTTTTGGGGACTATATTTATCAATTCATGTGTGAACATATGTTTGGACTATGTTCCTTAATTCATAAGTGTGAACATTTATTTTTGGACTACGTCCATCATTTCATAAGTGTGAACATTCATTTTTGGACTATGTTCATCAATTCATGAGTGTGAATGATTCAGCTTCGAAGATGTTTCTCAGTTTAAAGACCAACACGATAGTTCATGTATTATTAAGTTTTCCGCTAGTGCAGTTGAGAGTAGTATGTACTCAGGATATCTTAATGTGTGCAAGTAATGATAATGCAGTACCAATATTTCCATGAACATGTCTAGAGTGATAGTGAAAAACTGTGAGAGCATAGACTTTGACCAGGTTTTAAGACCAGCAAGGTTGGTTCAGGAGGCAGTAGTGTAGCCTAAGTAAAGAGCAGCGTGAGTTGGGCACAAGAAGCTATCTGACCCAGAGGCAGGTTAGAAAGAGATACTGACACTGTCCCTGTAAAGCCAAGGGAGTGACTGTTTTCTATCGCCCGATACGGCAGGGAACGGACGAGAAGCTTTGAGCCATCACTCAGTGACAAAAGGATGCATTCACCCAGGAACAAGAAGCCTTGATCTGATGTTCGGCAGGAAAGGATGAGTCCCTTCTAACTGAACATTGCAGCTACAGCCAGGAGCAAGGATTTTGGATAGCACGAGTCTGGCCCAACATTGGGTCTCTGCTTTAATTAGAGCTTAATCGAATATTTGTCTTATCTACACTTATGTGTGATGCAAAGGTAAAGGTCACCAAAAAAAAGGCTGATTCATAGAAGGAAACGTTTTGTATCAAAATTTATCTCTGAATCATCCTCCCTATCCTGAGAATGCAAGTCGCCTGTTACTGCTGTCCCGTGACTGCTCATTGATTATGGACTAAAACATTACCACTAGCAATGACTTTTACCCTGAGAGCTAGCGTCCTCAATACATCCACAGTTTCAGAACTGTTCAACAGTACACAGCTCAATCAGACAAAATTCTACATCTCCTGACAATCAGCAATGATGATATCACGAAACAAGTTAAGACAGAACCAGCAGTAAACTATACTGAAACACAACAGATCAAATGGTTCAGACATGTGTCAAGACTACAACTGTACAGTGCAGCATAGACAGCCCTGTCACTCAGATATAATGTAATACATTGTCTGTTTGTTTAATATGTATATAATATGTCTACTGTCTCAAAGGTCCCCCCCCCCCCCACCCCCGGTTTATTTTTGTGAATGATGTTTAACACAATGGAACCTACCAATCGAATCTCTTTTTAAAAGTATGTGTGTATTCGAGACAAAGCATTACGGTCTGCTGTGCTTGTAAACTGTCGCTGTGTTTGTTATTGGTTAATATAAATGTCTGTAACCTATTGTGCCATTTCAATGGGTTGAGATGAATTCTGTCTGTATTCCATAGTTGCTGATTTCAAGCTGAACGATAGACATGGCAAATGAAGATACCCTTTAAAGGGTGCCTAGTTGGTCATTTTCTTAGTACACTTGTTTCCACAGCCAGGCACACATGACATTTGGGGGTGACTATAGCTTACTATTTTTATGTTGTCTAGTGGGTCCTTTTATCTTTCTGCTTTTTTTATGAGTGCCAATCAATACACTGTCTGTATGTTTATTACAGATGTAAGCAGTGCCAGAGGTCGCACGGTCCAGATAGAGAAATTTCCAAGGTCGCAAATACGTGCATCTGTGTAGCACATACCATGGCTCACACTTGACACCTCTTCAAAATCTGACACAGAAAGGCAGAATATAGCTACAGAAGAAGTTTGAAGAAGGAGAGGATATAACTTCCTTACTGCGAATTTATCTTACCTAAAATAATATTGCAAGAGAGGTTTACATACATATGGCTGGCCCTGATCCTAATGACAGCATCAAACATCTAACAAGGAGAGACCAGGCCACCATCTTCAGACTTAGCACACAACTTATTCCACTCAATGGACATCTAAACAGAATACAGCCATAACACTCCCTAGAGTGTCCACTATGTAACTACCCCTACAAAACCCTTGACCATCATCTCTTTGAGTGCCTAAAACTCGGCAAGACTAGAGAAAGCTACTCCCTCTGAGACCAAACAAGTGGAAAACCTTGTATGAAGCACACAAAAAACAGCTTGCGAAGACAAGTACATTTCACTGTAAATTGGCATTTGGCCAAAGGGCTCTTAGCTTCTGGATCCATAACAATAACAAGCTAAAATACTGAAGAAGAAAAACTTACTTGCGGTTTTTCACATTTTTTGTGGGTAGATTTGCTTGCAGCTTAGAATCTAAACTGATGAGACTTGTAAAACTGTGTGAAACTGAGAATGAATGTAACAAAATGTCAGAATTATTAAATAATTCAGCATACATCAGAAAAAAAAAAAAACCCATACAATTATTGTACTAGAACACTGAAAAGAGAACAATTTAAACAAAATTAAGCAAAAGGGCTCACCCTCCCCACCCCCTCTTACTTTCTTTCTTTTCTTTTCTTTTTTCTTTCTTTCTTTCTTTCTTTCTTTCTTTCTTTCTTTCTTTCTTTCTTTCTTTCTTTCTTTCTTTCTTTCTTTCTTTCTTTCTTTCTTTCTTTCTTTCTTTCTTTCTTTCTTTCTTTCTTTCTTTCTTTCTTTCTTTCTTTCTTTCTTTCTTTCTTTCTTTCTTTCTTTCTTTCTTTCTTTCTTTCTTTCTTTCTTTCTTTCTTTCTTTCTTTCTTTCTTTCTTTCTTTCTTTCTTTCTTTCTTTCTGTTCATCTATCTGTCTTTCTTTCCTCATTTCTTTCTCTCCCTCCCCCCCTTTTTCACTCCTGGTATTCATGCCAGTAATTCTGCAATGTCAAAGTTCTTCATTTCTTTCTTTTGTCAATATCTGCACTGCACCGCTAGGCTTAGTAATTTAACAGATGATCAGTAGCCAAGCCAAAGCACACTTGGTTGCCTGGTATGTTGTTGTGAAGTCACAAAGTCAATAAACAGGCACTGACAAGGGAAACAAATAGATTGTACATCAGTAATAACATAGGTGACTTCACATACTCAGGACTTCCACGGAATATGATGGACAACTACCATCTCCACCATATTGGAGTCAAAAAACATATTCATACATCAAAGCCCATTAAAAAAAAATTATCTTTTTATTTCAGTCTTTATTCTTATATAACAAATGAGAGTGCTGTGTTGAGCACCTGCCTACCAACACAAGGGGTATGTGGTTCCATTCTCAGTTATTGTATGGTTATATATTGTTACTGCCAGCAAGGATCTTTGGTTGATCCATTTTCATAAATTGAAAATGAGATAACCATATGGGGATGGGAGGGGAGGGGGGGGGGATAGACTCATTGCCTCACTAACAAGCATGTCATAAAAGCTCCCCCGTGTGCAATATGGAAACCAGAATAGAAGCAATGTTGACTAACTGGGGCCATCATTCGGAAGTTAGAGTGTATCTGCCTGAGAGGCAAGGAACCATCAGTCTGCATACAAATAAGTGAAATTTGTGAAATAGATGTGCACATAACACTCAGGTTCTGGAACAAGACTGAAGTCCAGAGGTGGGTAAACAACCAGAACTTTCCAAGTTTACAGCCAGTGAGCAGGAAGAAGAAGACATAAGGCAATAATTATGGGTGTTTTCTTCAAAGTCAGAGAGTATCTGCCTGATAGGCAAAGAACAAACAGTCTGCATACAAATAAGCCAGATCTGTAAAACGGATAGGCAAGCAAAACTCAAGTCCTGGATCAAGACAACAGACCAGAAGTGGATGAACAACCATAACTTTCAACTGGAGTTTACAGCCAGTGAATATTAAGAAGTGAAGAAAAAGATCAAATATGTTTCCTGTTAGTATTTGAGGACCCGGAACCCACATAAAAAAAAAAAAAATGTAATTTAAAGCATAGAATATTAAAACATTTACCAATCTTTTTCTTTTCTGACACCAGAGGCCTCATCATGGCTCCCTTCTTTGGTTGCATAGCATTATAGTTTTTCAAAATCTCTGTAACCATTGCTTTGACACCCCCAATGTCTTCCGGCTTCTCATCTGAAAATAGTGCAGATCAGGCAAGCTATCATCTTTATATTTAAGTGAAGCTTAAATGTGATCTCACATCTTTCTGCCTCTAATTGTTGCTTTTGACAAAACCAACTCCCTTCTCACCCCAAACCATTCTGACTTCACACCTGAATATAGCTTAGATCTGATGAGCTGGAATCTCAACATTTAACTCTTCGTGGACTAATAGCCAGTTAAATGGCGTTTGAATTTATCCTAATCAGACTATTGACTAGTATACTGGCGCTTCACAGAGACACTCTAATTTTGTTCCGTTTGCTGGGAAAACCGAATTTGTATGAGCTGTTTTGAAAGGCTAGGATTAGCGATAGGAAGTCCTTTCGTTTTCTGAAGTTGGCATGGTGTTTGTGCCACTTTCTGATTTTTTAAAAATTATTTAGATGCGATACATGGTTTTTCAATATCAAATGATGAAGGAAAAGGTCTAGAGCTGTTCATATTGCTCTGTCGTTGTTGAATCTCAGCCAGATAGTGACAACAGTCTTGATTTTATAATTGATAATGCACATGTCAAACCTGTGTTTATAAATAGGTTTAAGATGAAGACTGAATAAAATATTTCAATCTGATCATCTGTTTTGATCAGCTGTTTTCCAAATTTCGGTTGTTACGAAATCTGACATGTCATAAAAAAATGATCATAACATCCAAAGTATTCAAATTAACTGTTTGAAATAAAACACTAGCTAATAACATAATTAAACAGAGAAGGCATGTAAATTACAGAAATGAAAAGCAGTGTTGCCGAACAAGTAAAAAGTAAGGTAAGCACAAAATCTTTTTGCATAAATAATCTTCATATGTGTCTAACATCCTTGAATGTTGTGTGATTTTAATAATATTTTGTTGTTACACTGACACTTGAATAGTTTAGATTTATTTTGCTCTCATTTCTCTTTAATTTGATATATTATATGTCTCTGTACAGCCTATTCTTCAGGAAGGTTTCGCTCTGGCATGTTGCAGTAAATAAATTAGGCTCAAAATTAATGCTGTCCAAACACCAGAAAAAAAATGTCCTGAAAGAGTTAAGGGGAGGTGCAATGTGTCTTCGGCCCTTTCTGCCTTCTCATTGTCATTTGGAGGCTAAGTGGTCATGAGGCATGGCATCTGCCTCGAGTGCTGGTGGTCCTGGGTTCATATCCCCCGTATGAGAGATTTTTTCACGTTGACTTCCCTTGCCTCTGGGTAGTAAGACCGGACGCCCGTGTGTAATTTTGTGCTCTTAAAACCAAAAAACTTTTGGCAGTTGGAAACCCAAAAGTAGCACACACACCAGATAAGCTCTATCTTCATATTCAAGGAAAGGCACAATGTGTCCTGTGCACTTTCTGCCTCTGATTATTGCTTTTGGCCCTCCCCCTCCTCACATTTTCTGGCTTCTCAAGATAAAAATAACACAGACCAGATCCATTACCATCTACATTCTAAAGGTGGTCAGCAATGAGCCTTCAGCATGTTCTCTCTCTATCACCTGGATGGTAAAGTGTATCCTCACCCTCCCTTCTAGTTCATCTCTGATGCTTTATTCCCAGTTTAACTGCTGTTTTCACTAAGCCATATGGATATGGAAAGCAAGGGGAAACTACCACATTACTATCCCAAGAAACTTATCATAAAGCCCCCCCCCCCCCCCCCACCACCACACACACATGCACATACATACATACACATGCGCACATAATCAACAAGGAAAAAATATGGGGTTTCTAAGCTGAAATGCTGCAGAAAAATTCTTAAAATACTATGAACAAGATGAAAACAAATATTGACATTCGAAAAGATACGAATAAAACTGACTCGTAAATAGCATCTTGTCCCAGACACTGAAATACTTTGGCCATAGACAGCCTTGCAATGGCTTGGACAGAGGAGAATGGGAGAGATATGGTAGCGGGCAGTTAGGCAGGAGCCCCTCAACATGCAGGTAGACAGGCCCAGGACAGAGTGGGAAAGTGCATGGAGCAGGAAAGCTGGCGAGAGATGAAGTTTTTTTCAGGTCTAGGGCGACCATAATATCTTGGCCTCAAAACAGGACCTCCCACTAATATTGGAGATGAGTTGCATTGAGTCAAGAACTGACATCACAGCAATCAGGACATTCCCATGTGTGCTCCGTCCTCATCTTCAGCAGCCATAGCAGAGTTCCAATACTGATGGTACCGGTCACAATCGGGTTATATGTCCGTCTTGCCTTTCCACTGAGTGTAGTGAGCCGGCCAGACCCTCTGGTTACACCCAGGTGCCTCATTCTCTCCAGGCCATAATAATCTTGTTTCTCTACTGATTCCATTGCTTGTTCCCAAAGGGCCTTGACCACATCTGACTTGTCATGTATCTTGTATATGAGAGATGAAAGATCTCAAGCAAGTCAGATTTTTTCAGTAATTCTTTTTCTTTCACAGTCTTTCCAGAAACCTCTGTATTTGTCAGTTTTTGTTTCCATGAAATACGAACCATTCTTCGTATATCCACATCTCCAGAGACTCAATTCAATTTTTTAGTTTCCTGTTCATTGTCCAAGTTTTGGCACCACACAGCAAGGCTGAATATGCAGTAGAACCTCGCTTAACTAGCACTTCTCAGAACGAGTAATTCGCATAACGAGCAAAACGAAATTGTAAAAGAATGACTTGCTTAACGAGCGACGTTTCGCATAACGAGTGGCGAGGAGAAGGGAAGTCCCTTACTGTGCGCATGTTACATGATCAGTCTGTGTTTAGCACTTGTTTCAGTAGCATCATAGTGTCGCTTGTGATCACACATTTTCTCAAACCTGTGTTATATTTTGATATATGTACATGAAGCCCATGGACCAGCAAGTTATTTCTAACTTTAAGAAGCTCTACACTAAAGCACTCTTTGAGTATTGTTTTCAGGTGACTGAAGGGACCAACCTCACTCTCAAAGAGTTTTGGAAAAATCACTTCCACATCGTTGCCTGTCTCAAGATGATCGACAAAGCGGGGGAAGGGGTTACCAAGAGAATCCTAACTTCTGCTTGGAATAAGCCTTGGCCGGAGAGCGTTGTCAATTTGTGACTTTGAAGGGTTCGAGACAGTACCAGTGGAACCTGTAGTCAACGAGATTGTGTCTTTGGCCACTATCATGAGATTATAGGTGGATAATAGTGACATCGAAGAGCTTGTGGAAGAGCACAGCCAAGAGCTGATCACCGAAGAGCTTATGGAGTTGCATTGTGTTTCACAGAAAGAGGTTTTGGAGAAAAGTTTGTCAGAGGAGGAGGAGGAGGTAACAGAAAAGCAATAATCTTCTGGTGAATTAAAGAAATGCTGAAAGCATGGGAAACTTGCATCTTACATTAAGAAGCATCACTTTAATAAGGAAATGGCTATGCGCGCTGCAAATTTATTAAATGATAATGCTATGTCGCATTTTTGCCAAATTTTGAAGTGTCGGCAAAAACAAATGTCTCTAGACATACTTTCTAGTAAAAATTAAATAGCTATGTATCATTATTATTTCGACTTTTTTTTTATTTTTGCAAATCAAATTCGCATTCCAGGTGGGTTCGTTCCGCGTTTGAAGAAAAGATGAAGATAATTCACTCTCCTTAACAACATGTATATAATTTCCTTTAAATAAAATTTTTTTATTCTAATTTCAAATCAGTTCTTTTGTATGGAGCCGAAACATGGAGCACAACTAAGGCAATTACTAATAATCTACAAACAAGTTCCAGTGGACCAAGAGGTCAAAGAAAAGACACTGGCAAAAAAAACACATGGTAAGAAAACCTGAGAATAATATAGCTAGAATGTCTTTGCACTGGAACCCACAGTGGCGTAGAAATTAACGTAGACCAAAAAAACTCATTGAGAAGGGAGCTAGAGAGTGAAGGTAAAAAGAAGCGGAGGACCTGGGAGAGCTGCATGCGATAGCAAAGGATAGCACGACTTGGCGTGACTTGGGTGAGAGCCTATGCTTCATTGTGGGACAGAAAAGAAAGAAATGCATAACACCAGGCAAGTCACACACATTTACCTGGCTTAGGCTGCGGTAGCCTAAAGGCTTTAGGTTTGTCAAACCTAGCTCTAGAAGAACACATCTCCTTCGTGTTCCAGAGCCTAAGCTCTACTGTGTGGTTAAACATTTTCAGCAACACCTCTTTGGACACTGCAACGTTTTGACTGTGGTTTCAAATTAAAAAAATTAAAAAAAAGACCTTTAGCACATTAAAAATTAAACAACAACATTCAACATCTGTTGGTCATCACCACAGACCCTGCTTTTAGTGCACAGCAGTTTTTGTAGTGTTGTTGTGAAAGTTTAAAAGACGTGTGTTTGCGCACTGGTGGACTCCCGGGACATCCATGCTGAATGGTTGAGAGAAAGAAGAATGTGTAATGAATGGATAGTGATGGTTTGGTTTGTAAGGACTGAAAGATTAGTTGTTTTCGTGTGCGTGATACGTGTAGCTTATAAAGTCAATGTTGATCACATCAATGACTTCTACAAAACATCTATCCCAGTATCTCTGTTTGATACTTTGTTGAAGACAGTTCTGTCAGTAGTGACTGAAAAAGGTCTTTGACAGTCACATTATGAGAAGAAGGTAACTGGAACATGATGTGACCACTAGAAAGATCTGTGGAAAGACAGAGGAAGACAGCGCAAAAAGATGCTTGACAGCCTACTGTCATGGCATGGATGCAAGTCAACAAACTCATACATGCATATGTAGACCGCAGAAGAAGATATTCCTCATTTACAAAAACAACAAAACAGTGCTGCTTTGTTCTCCCTCCAAACCCTCTCCTCATCCCAACAGTTAAAATTATTCTGCTCTCTGTGGCCATGAAAGCCGACCGTCCAGAAAGCAATGGCAAACTACTGGACGTAAATTTGCCTAAAAAAACCACGGTGGTTCTGCAAACGTCCTGTAAATGGTAGGCAACTAACCTCTGTGGTCAACTGGTCAAGCTGTTTGCCCCGTGCTCTGAAGGTCAAGGGTTAATTTGATAGCTGTGTTGTTCAGTTCACAACTGTAATTTTACTGGGAATCGATCATCACAGGAGCTACAGAGTTTGTGCTTTAAATCTCCAACTTAAATCCTCAACCAAACAAACAAAACAAAAAGGTCTTATACCTATAAGCCCAAGCAAACCAAGTGACATCCTCTTCCTGCCAGGTTTTCACCACGCGAGCTTCATGCTTGTCCATGTAGATCTTGCAGGCTGCTCCGTATGTGACCACATCGGTCTTCAAGAGCTCGGCCCCTGGCAGCAGGCTGTACTCCAGGTGGTAGTAGTTCTGTGCATGGGGAGCATCTAACACCTGTTTACTAGTGGTAGCCCTCAGACCATCTGCCTCTGGGAAAAATAAAATCATGAACTTCATCATCATCAATTCTCCCGGTGGCTTCTAGGGCACCCATTGTGGGGGAAACCAGAACAGACCCACTGCCTCCCCAACAAGCATGTTGTAGGAGTCAACTAATTGGAGCTTGCTTCAAAGTCGAAGTGCATCTGCTTGAGAGATAAAGAACTAACAATATGCATACAATTAAGCCAGATGTTTGATGTACACACAACACTCAGGTTCTGGAACAAGACTAAAGTCCAGAGGTGGCCAAACAACCAGAACTTTCAATAGGAGTTTACAGCCATTGAATGTAATGAAGAAGAAGATCATAATCCATTTTCATTTGAAGGGAAGAGGGAAAAAGGGGGGAAAAAAAAGGGAAAAAAAAAAGGAAAAAAAAAGGGGAAAAAAAAAGGAAAGGGAAAAGAAAAAAAAAAAAAGGGGGGAAAAAAAGGAAAGGGGGGGGAAAAAATAAAAAAAAGGAAAAAAAGGAAAAAAAAAAAGGGAAAAAAAGGGGAAAGGGGGAAAAAGGGAAAAAAAAAAAATTTTGACAAGAAGAAGAATAAGAATAAGAAGAATAAGAATAAGAAAGACAGTAAGAAGAATAAGTAGAAGAGAAGGAGAAGGAGAAGTAGAAGGTAGAAGGAAAGGAAAGACACATAGAAGAGAAGAAGGATAAAAGACATACACGAAGAAGAATAAGAAAGAAGAAGAAGAAGAACAATGAAGAATAAACGAAGAAGAAGATGAATGGAAGAGAGAAGAAGAGAATGTAATAACTCACAAGAAGAAGAAGAAGACAGAAAGAAGAAGAAGAATAAGTAAGAACAAAGAATAATAAGAAGATCTTATTGTATGAAGAAAAAAATGAAAGAGAAAAAGAGAAGTAAAGATAGAAAGAGAGAAGAAGAAACGAAGAAGAGAGAAGAGAAAAGCAGAAAGATTCTAGAAAGATAGAGAAAGCAACAGAAAAGAAGAAAGATAGGAAATCAATTAGAAGAGAAAGGAGAGAAGAAGGAGACAAGACAGGGAGGAAAAAAGAAATAGAAATAGAGTTAGGAAATTAGGAAAGAAGATAATTAGGAGAAGAGAGGATTAGAGAAGAGAAGATAAGAAAAGCAAGAAGAATCATGAGACGAGACAGAGAAGAAATTGTCAATGCATAGAAGCAAATGAGCAAGAAGAATAAGAAGCAAGAAAAAAATAAGAAAGAAAAGAAGAGAGAAGTCACACAGTCCTCCGAAAAAGAAGAAAAGAAGGGAGAAACTTTCTTTCAATAGTAAAAAAGAGAGGAGAAGAAAAAAGTGAAGCAAGTTACGAAGATAAGAAGAAGATAGAAGTACAAAGAAAGATAAGAAAGACTGAGAAAGAAGATAGGTGCAATCAAGAAGATAAGAAAGAAGACCAGAAAATACGAAACGCAGGTACAGAGAAAGAAAATAAGACAAAGACCGGAAGAACAAAGTTAGAAGGATGATGAAAAAAAAGGAAGAGGAGGAAAAGAAAGGAGAGAAGACGAAAGAAGAAATATGAGGAGAAGGAAAAAGGAAGAAAGAAAGAAAAAGGGAGGAGGGAAAGAAGAAAAAGGAAGAGAGAGCCAAGAGAAAGGAGAGAAAAGAAGAGAAGAGAAATGAAGAAAGAAGAAAAGGAAACAAGAGTGAAAGAAAGAAGAGGAAAGAGAAAGAAGAAAATGAAGAAAAAGAAAAAGAAAAAAGAAGAGGAGAAAGAAGAAAAGAAAGAGGAAAGAAAGAAGTTAGAAAGAAAGAAAAAGAAGAAGAAAAGGAAGAAAAAGGAAAAGAAAAGGAGCGCTAGGATGCCAGGAAGAAAGAAGTAAGAGAGAAGAAAAAGAAAGAAGAATAGAAAAGGAAAGAAAAAGAGTAAAAAAAGGAACAGAGATAGAAAAATAAGAAGAGAAAGGAAGATTAAGGAAAGAAGAGAAAGATTTAAGAAAAAAGAGAAGAAGAGAAAAGAAGAAGAAGTAAGAAAGAAAGAGAAGAAAGAAAGGGAAGGAGGGTTGAAGAAGATCTCTCCGGCAGACGAAGCCGCCGTAGTCATCCGTAATTAGTCGCATTTTACAACCTGCAGCCTTTTTGCCCCCCCCCCCCCCCCTTTTTCTGCCCAGGATCCACGTAACTTACATCAATAATTATCACATATTTTTTTCTAACCGTGCCATGGCTGAATACCACAAACTAACATTCCACATCTCTCTCAGGATCCTAAAATACTACTGTTAATAGACGTCCCTTATGAATGTGTATTCAGACACTCCATATCTCTGTACACGGCATCCTAAACGCGGGCTTCAAACGCGCACAAGTAGAACACTACAGTTAATAGACGTCCCAGATATATGTGTGTTAAACTCTTGACAGTCGCAAGACCACGGCCCTGAACGTGTAAATAAACGATTCTCACCCCTGTTTGAAGTGCCTTTTTTTTTTTTCAAACTCACGACCTGCAAACAAGATTCATAGAAAGGTAGGCACGTTCCGCCCACAAGGCCACAAGAGTGTGCGATTTAAGGCCAGCTGGTGCGGTCACAACAGTAATAAAAGTACACTATCGCGCTGCCGCAAGTTTTCTTTGTGACGAAGTATTAATAGGAATTAATAGGAACATGTTTGACCACTGGAAAGATCTGTGGAAATAGAGACAGGGGAAGGCAACGGGAGAAGAATCTTGACAGTCTTTTGTCATGGCATGGAGGGGTGTCAACACACGAACTGATACACGCAGTTGCAGATCGCAAATTGTCAACAGGTATGATCGCCAGTCTTCAAGTCACTTGATTATGGTGTCGATGATGATGATGATGACGATGATGACATTTGAGCACCTGCTGCGAAGTTTTCTGTTACTGAAATAGTGAGTGCTTTGTCTGGGTTCATCTGGGTGAATATTCGGCCCTGGTTTGAGGTTATCAACAACGGATCAACATCATGGCACACGGGTCTAAACCATAAGTGCTCCGTTTTTTGTTTTTTTTTCTAACTCAAGTCTGAGTCTTAAGAAGCTCAGTACGGTGCACAGGCTCTGTATACCGGCGAGGATCCTGAAATACTTTGGGTAGATGTTTAACTCCAGATTTTGCCCATGCAGCGCGATTAGGCTACTCTTTTCGATTTCCAACTGCCAAGAGATTTTTTACGTGCGCAACAGTGCACACGGGCGTCCGATCTCACTACCCAGAGACCAGAGAGAATTACTAGAAGTCCAAGTCCACGTGAAAAAACCCCAGCCCTTACCGGGGATTGAACCCGGAACCTCTAGCACTCGAGGCGGGCCAATTTGTTAACGATACATCGGTATGCTGTTACAGAGAAAATAAATCCTCCCAAAATTGTAACTTTGATTTCTTTGCTGGTGCTTAACCACAGACTGTTAATGCTGTTTACTCTCTGCACTGCTTTGGCCATCCTCATTTTGACTTCTCTTGTTAAGTCTCTATTGCTGTTTATTATGGAGCCTAGATAATATGTCGACCCAACAAAAAATAGGTACCAGGATGGCTGTTCTGTGGAAGTAAAGACGGCCGGCGTAATCCTGACCACATTAGCCACCTAGGGCCGATTTTGTTTTCACTACATAATAAAATGTCAATAATTTCAATTGCTTCATTATTTACTGTTATTTTTTGAGTGACGGCCAGTTTTGTTTGTGGACATTATTTTTGTTCTCTTTTAATTCAAGGACAGGTTTTGATCTTCTTCATAAACGAAATGTGTTTTAAAAAATGGTATAAACCAGACATATCTTATTGCTATACAAAGACCATCTGTTACAGCCTGACTGGTGTATGAGGAGAATACAGTTAGTTAATCGAGCCATCATCCTCACTGCACATCAGACAAGTTCATGAGTGCTCAGATCCCATCTTCAGCATCTCCCTCAGCGTGTGGCGACCTACATAAAATTAACACCTGTGAAATGAGATGCCTAAGAGAAGCTGCCAACTTAACCATTCGAGACAGAGTTAGAAATGATATTACCAGACACACTGTAGGAACAGCACCATGCAGCAAATTCGCTAAGAAAGATCAAATGGTTTGGTCATCTAGTAAAAATGCAACCAGAACAAATACCAACGCAGACGCTAAATATGAAAAGAGCTGGTGAAAGCAAGAGGCCACTCTATGAGAATATGGATTGATGACATTAAAGAGCTTCTAATCCGACACGGAATGACAATAGCCATTGCTGTCCATCAAGCAATGGATCGCAAATTGTTCCTCCCCGCGGCACTTAACCGCAGAAGTAAAAATTGGCGATGATGATGATGGTATCTAAAGTGAGGAACGGTTTAGAGCGCTGGGCTCTCACGCATGACATGAATGAGACCCTGGTTCGAATCCTCGGTAAGGACATGGATTTTTTAAAACTTGTCCGTGACTTTAGATAGAGATGCCGGTACGCAAACCAAGCCAATTTCGAGCGCAAATAAACACACGCATACGATGTTCTAATCTTAACATCTGGACTGAGCCACGCAACAGCAACTGCTGGGAGACCACACGTTGGCATTCACAAGCAAACGTTTCTGTTTGTCCTAGCATGCTATTGGAAATCTTGTGCTATTGATTATAGATTATATTAATGGCCCTATTTCTGCTAGACCTGGCAATCGAGCAGCCATCAACTTGATTTCCGCTCGTCGCCGTCGATTCCCCTCCCCCCTTCATCTAGCAAGACGCTGCCGTACCGTTTCTTTCTGGTATCCGTAAACTCCTGAGCCCTTTCAGGTCTTGACGTTTCGATGACAAATACTGCGGCTTAACAGGTATTCATTCCTGAGTTATTCCAGCTTTATTGGCCGCAGATCGATACATCTTATCACGTAGTAGAATGGTCGATCAATTTCTTTGTATATCACCGGCGACTTGAAGTGGCCTAGGCATTATCCAAAATCTCCCAGTATAACATTCGTGACTTGAAGTTGAATGATCATTATCTAAAATCTCCCAGTATAACACTCATGACTTGAAGTTGAAAGATCATCATCATAAAC